CTGGTTTTACTTTTCTGTAGTTCGTGACTGGTTACCGTCGTTTTCAAAACACCCTTGAATTCCCCCGGGGTTCTCTAATGAGAGCAATGAAGATTAGTCGTGATGGTAATGAGTGGAGAAGTCTTTCAATGAAAAAAAAAAATCCACATTTAAATTTCAAGCATCTTTCACTGAAGTGAGTGAATTGGATATACGAGTAATGGATCAATGAGCTTAGATATAAAGACAAATTTAAGACATGAACCAATTCCTCTGAAAACCAAGTTAAAACTGCGGTACATTCTAAAGTACTTCTAAAGTTTAGTAAGTCTAAAGAAACAGGAACACCAAATGTTACAGTTCCTGCATGATTTTATAAAACTCTGCACATGAAATCAATAAAATGGACACTTTTCAAGAAGTGTACTTAAAAATCATTCTTATAGCATAAGAAAAAAAGTGAAGTTTTAGACTTATGGATTTACAGTATGAATTTTGCACCACATCTCAGCATCAAAATGAAAATGAACATTAATCATGACAAGTCAATTTCCAAGAATGTCACATTTCTTCGGACTCAATTAAAAAATGAAAATGTCCAAAAGCCATGAGAAATTCCACTGTTTCTTACCCGAGGCACACTTCAGGTCTGGGCAGATATGATCCGGCTCTGAAATATTGTAAATGAGGCGTGGTTACACAGCTGTCAAAACACGGGATGTACACAAAACCAGTCAATGGAAGAGGAAGGAAAGAACTTACCCGGGCAAAGGATTTGTTCAATTTCCTCCAGAAACTCTTCAGCGGTCAGCTCGGCGTACACGCTGAGAGTCTTCACTCTGTCACTTGTGTTGCAGGCGATTTTCTCCAAGGACTGCCGTTCGGCGCTGGTGTCGAACATGTCGCCGATGGCGATGGCGTACACCTCCACGCCCCCGCAGAGGGCTCCCAGGTTGTCCACGTCCTTCGGGTCGTACCGGCCGTCCGTGATGACGATGGCGACCACCTTGGTGCCGGGCCGCCGCCCTGGCACGATCAGCCGCTCGTACGTGAACTTCAGGGCCGAGGGAGTCCAGGTCCCGCCCGCGATCCACTCCATCGCCTTGACCTTGGCTTTGAACGAGGCGACCGAGGTCACTTCCGGGTCGTCCATCCGGATGGCCTGCACGGCCCCCTGGTGGCTGTACTGCACCACGCCCAGCCGGGAACCTGAG